ATGATAATTCTAAGCATAAAATACAGGTCGAGTTCGTAAATGCATTACTGTAGTATTACTGCAAAAACCAGTGCCTTTTAGTACTAAACTACATATAATTGATGGAAATGTGAAGCATGCGCAAACACAGTTAAATGTCGAATTGGAGCTAAGTTGCGAAATTAAGGCATTCTTATAAATAAAAATTTACGAATAAGTTTTAATTTTCTACGAGCTGGCCCCAAATCATCTTTTTGCTACGTGCTGAATCGAGGAAAAACGACCTCAACAAACCTTTGACCCATGACCAAGCAACTGACGCTTTCTGCGTGATTAGACTCCCGTCAAGTTAATATTAATGCGGAACTTCCACTACAAATTGAATTGAGAGAAAATGCGTGCCATTTAAAAAATGTCATTTGGAAACAAATTTAATGACAATTTTTCTTAACGTAATGGCACAGGTCTTTTTCAATTCTCAATTTTTTCTTTAAAATTTGTATAATTTAATGCCAAGATACGTTTGCCATTCAATGCATAGTGGAAATCCGGCATAATATATTTGGTAAAGTAAATGGATACCGTGCGGCGGCGATCTTCTGAAGCGTGTGACAAATTTCAAGCCAACGGTTTAGAGTTCTAAGTGCAAAATTTCGACTGCCCTTGTAAAAAAGTCCAAAGAAGAAAAGACGAAATCCCACAAACTTGCAAAACTTTTCGCAACGCTTAAAAATAAAAGAACAATTTTTCCGCATACCAATCCCAGCTCTCGTCACTGAAGCAGACATGCCGTCGCTCGCTCACGATTATTCAAACAAAAAAAAACCTTAACATTCGCAAATTTTTTTTTTTTGAAGTTACATCTTAAAAAAGCTTTTTGTTTTTGTTGGTTTATTTTTTCTGTTCTTTTTTGTCTCGCTTTGTTTGTCGTTTATTACCAGTAATATTTTATAATTATAATTATTTAGTACATAACTTTTAATATTAACATTAATATTAATTTGTTTTCGTTTCCTTTATAATTTAATTGTAATAATTAAGTTTAAGTTTATTCATTATCATCATTATTAACTATTTACAGCATTTTTTCATTCACATTTTTTTTTTAAGTTAATTTTTTATTCTTTTTTTTACACCGGTTTGTAATGAGTGTATGAAAGTGTTTGCGGTGTGAGTGTGTGTGTGTGGAGTAGTACTACATAGTTCTAGTTATGTAAGAGGTAAGAAATTTGGTTGGAAATTAATGAGTCAACTTCGCGAAAAAATGCTTAAGAATTTTATTTTTCGTAACATACTCGTAAATTTTGCATTGAGTTTGGGAAAAACTCCGATTTGTAGCTTAAATTTTGCATAACTGTTTTTGAAAGTTCTTAATTTACTTCAACGCCGATTTTGGCATCACACTTCACCAGAAATTCGAAAAGCACGTTTAACTGGTAATTCTAAATTTTCCAATATGTATTTTCACTTCTAAACTATTTGGACATTCAAAAACAATTGGATTTTTTTTTTAAGTTTAATAAATGCTTAACTAAGTTCCAACTTTGATTTGTTCATACATTTTCTTTTATTTTATATTCTTTAAAGGGTCTGCCCCTCCCTGCGGTGCTATTTATATTTACTAAGTATGTAGGTTTGTATATGCGGAAGTACATGGGCGTGTTTTGAAGAATTTTATGGATTGTATGAAGTTTCAATTTTAGCCAACAACCGATTGCCTTTACGTTCGGAAAGAAATTGATATACATATTGTTACTTTAATTCACAAAGGGTCTAACCAACAAATTTTTTATTTTACAGAAGAAGCAAAAAACATTATAAAAAGAGTATCAAAAACAGGTAGGGCTTTTTAAAAAGTGGTTTTTGTTGTTTTTGGTACTAACACTTTCAAATTTTTGTTGAGGGTGTCTTTCAATATATCCTACCAAAATCTGTGAAAAAGCAGTTTCGAAAAATTAAATTAGTTTCGAAGAAGGTTTAAAAAAGGAAAAAATTACAAAAAAAAATAAAAGAAAAACTAAAAACAAAATTTGAAAACCGAAAAATTTAATTTGAAAAAAGGATTAGTAATAATAATTATTATTAGAAACATAATTGAACAAAAAATCAAAAAAATTCCAAAACAAGTTAAAAAATTAAATTTGGAAGAAGTAAAAAAAAATAGTTTTATTAACTTCATTTTGTAGCATTTGTCAGCCTTTCGTAGAAACAAATTCTACAGTTTAATGCGTTAAATACTTGAAAACCGAAATCTCTGAAATTCAGTTTTGAAAAATATATTTGTTTAGAATGTTGTATCATTCAAGTGTTGTGCATTTCGAAGCAAATTTTTTAAAAATATTTTGTCGTGTAGACTTCTAAAGTCTATTTTTAAATATCGAAATTCCCGATGTAAATTTAATTTTGAACTTATTACGACTCAAGTGAAAGGGAGGCTACTATTTTTTCGTCTAATTTTGGGATAATTGAAACTAAAAACTCGAAAAATATTTCATGCAATCTTTTGCAGTTCAATAAAAGTTTCTGTTTCCATCGAATGCTCTCAATACATTATTCAAAACGAACATTTCACTTTTTTAACTGCAGATTTAAAAAACTATAATTTTCAAATCTTCAAATTTGTGTTAAAAAATTACGGTTTTTATCCTACTCCTTAACAGAGCCTAACTTTC